GCCCACATTTCCCCTTTTTTTATTTTTTGAGGCATTGTTCCTGTCTTAGGTTGGGCATGTCTCTTCTTGTCCTTACCCGTCATTGGACACCCCAGACATTCTCTGAGGCTCCTGTCTTATGTTGGTACAAGGAGACAGAGTCTTACCCATCATTGGAATTCAATGCCATCCTTTTTGGCTCAGGGGTGAAGCTGTGAACGCAACTTTAAAATCTCAGACCAAACGGCACCAAATGACACAGAGAGACTCGGGTATACCTTTGTCAATTCTGGAAAAGAGGCCTCGTTGATGTATTGGTCAAAACTGTTAAAGTGACTCTTATGGCCAATTCCTCCTTCTCTGTCGAAAGTAGCAATTTCTGGCTACATTTAGCTGCCATTAACTACTTATACTGAAAGATCATATAAGCTGTGACTTGATTTCTGGAGGTTGCTGCTTTAATATCTCAAATAATGTTCCTTACATAAAATATCTGGTACAGCAGCTAAAAGGTGAACTTCAGCGTATGTTTCTAACTAATCCCTTTTCTTTTGGTGAATCTCAGTGGACCCACTGGCTTTTGATGTTGCTGGGTCCTTTATTGCTGCTCCTGCCTTTTTGTCTGTGCCTCTCCTGTATATTCCAATGCCTCTCTGTGTCATTTGATTTTTTTATTTATTTATTTGACAGGTAGAATTATAGACAGTGAGAGAGAATGACAGAGAGAAAGGCCTTCCATCCGATGGTTCACCCCCCAAATGGCCGCAATGGCCAGAGCTATGCCGATCCAAAGCCAGGAGCCAGGTGATTCCTCTTGGTCTCCCATGTGGGTGCAGGGCCCAAGCACTTGGGCCATCCTCCACTGCCCTCCTGAGCCACAGCAGAGAGCTGGACTGGAAGAGGAGCAACTGGGACTAGAACCTGGTGCCCATATGGGATGCCGGTGCCACAGGTGGAAGATTAACCTAGTGCACCACCGTGCTGGCCCCTGTGTGTTTTTTAACAAAAGTTTTTAAAAGTAAAATAAATAAATAAATAAAACTTTCAAAGCAGAAAAAATTCCATAGAATAAGGTTATAAAGAAAAAAATACTTAGCTACAGCTGTATAATGTGTTGTGTTTTAAGTTGTTATCAGAAAAGTGTCAAAATTTTTTAAAAATGTAAAAGCGTATACAGCAGTAAGCAAACTTTATTACTAAGGGAAGAAAAAATATATTTTATAAATTTAGTATATCCTACCTGTGTACTGTTTGTAGTCTACAGTAGTATATAGCAATGCCCTGGGCCTTCACATTCACTCATCTCTCACTCCCTGTCTTACCCAGAGTAACTTCCAGTCCTTTAAACAACATTCATTTGAAGTGCCTATTACCCTTTTAAAATCTTTTATATAATATTTTCATGATATCTTTTATGTTCAGATACATAAATATTTACTATTATGTTACAATTTCCTATAGAGTATGGAACAGTGCTGTACTTTGTAGATTTGTGACCTAGGAGCAACAGTCTATACCATGTAGCCTGGTTATATAGTAGACTGCACTATATAGGCTTATGTAAGTACAAGCAATGATATCTACATAATGGCCTAATGATGTACTTCTTAAAAGGTTTTATCTGTCCCTAAACTACACATGATTGTATCAGTGTGAACTCACACTGTATCTTTGCTTGTTTGTCTCATTTTGAAGGCTTCTGTGTCATGTTTACTTGTATTGAATAAATTGTTATGTTTTCCTTCTGTTGATCTGTCTTATGGCACTTTAATTGTTTGGCCAGCTGAAAAAATTCTCGAGACTGTAGAAGAAAAGTTTTGCCTCTCCTGCAGTTTCAAGTATCTTCTCTTATACTGTTATCTTGCCTTTTTAATCCCATAAATGTTTCTTTTGATAATAAGAATTTCTAGCTTTAATAAAATAAAATAAAATAAAAGTTCTAGTCATTCTAACTTTTTGGCTTTTGTGTCCTACTTTCCTAAAATTGTTCTTTTGGACATTTCTACATTTATTTTTCCAGCCGTAGCCCCTCCTGTGAGTTAGAAGTGTTTATTTACAATTGTTGGCCTGATTTCACTGCGTGTCAAATGTAACACATTTGGCCGGCGCCGAGGCTCACTAGGCTAATCCTCCGCCTTGTGGCGCTGGCACACTGGGTTCTAGTCCCGGTCGGGCGCCGCATTCTGTCCTGGTTGCCCCTCTTCCAGGCCAGCTCTCTGCGGTGGCCAGGGAGTGCAGTGGAGGATGGCCCAAGTGCTTGGGCCCTGCACCCCATGGGAGACCAGGAGACGCACCTGGCTCCTGCCATTGGATCAGCGCGGTGCGCCGGCTGTGGCGGCCATTGGATGGTGAACCAATGGCAAAGGAAGACCTTTCTCTCTGTCTCTCTCACTGTCCACTCTGCCTGTCAAAAAGAAAAAAAAAAAAGAGTAACGCATTCAGGAGGACACTCTTGATTCCTCAGTCCCATAAACCCCCTCCCAGATTTTCCCATCTCAGTTTTAGGTCTAAAACTTGTTTTCCCCTTTTCTTAAGCATCTTATCCTATCAACTATAAATTTTCTGTTCTTTCTCCCTACAAATATTTCCTGAGCTCAAATGTTTTCACCAACTTCACCGATATCTCCTTAATGAATTTTAATCCTTAATCTTTTCTCTTGGTAACTCCAGTGGTCTGTTGCTTACTCTCCCTTCTACAGTGATCCACTTCTAGTTCTTTCTCTTTGGAGTAACCAGACTAATCTTTAGCAAATGAAAGATTGATTACATGATTCCTCTGAAAGTTTTCCCTCATGTTTAGAGTAAATTAGTAATGTTCTGTGACTTCAAGCCTGTTTTGTCATCTAATATAAGTTTTTCCTTGATTAATTTTGCCTCGGACACATTGTCTTGTTACTGTTTACTAAACTCACTCAATTTGTAGACACCTGAAGACTTTGACACTTGCCTTTTCCTTTGCTTAGCCTGCTGTTTCATAAAACTCAGTTTGACCAACCTAAAATAGTGCCTGTCACATGGTTAAGTGCTAAAAACATTATTGATAACTAAAAAGAGAATGGATAGTTGGATGAGTTTTTCAGGAAAAAAATCTTCTTTTATTTTTATTGCACTGGAATTTCATTTCAAGTGCGTTTTTATGAATGGTAGTTGATTAAATAGATGGGTAACTCTGGAAAATACCCTCAATTTAATTCGGTTGTCTTTTTCTCCAAAATGCATTGTTACTTAATTCAAATTCTGATTGATTTGATTTATTTTCATAATTTATTTTATTTTAGCACCAGATTAAACAAATGGACAAACAAATGCCCTCAATACTCTGAAGTTCCTCTATCTTGCAGAAATCTTATCCTTCTGAAAATTATATATGGGTAGCATTTTAGACTCAGAATGGACTTTGATTTATGATTTTTCAAAAATATTTAGTGATTTATTTGAAAGAGTTACAGAGAGAAAGACACACACACTCAGACACACACACAGAGAAAGAAAGAAGAGAGAGAGAGAGAGAGAGAGATTCCATCCACTTACTCACTTCCCAAATGGCTGCAACAGTCAGCACTGGGCCAGACTGAAGCTAGGAGCTATTAGCTTTTTCCAGGTTGCCCACGTGGTTGCAGAGACACAAGTATTTGGGCAATCTTTTTCTGCTTTATCAGGCACATTAGCAAGGAGCTGGACTGGAAGTAGAGCACCTGGGGCTCAAATTGTTGGCCATATGGTATGCTGTAATCACAGTCAGCGGCTTTACCCAATATGCCACGACTCTGGCTCCATGATCTGATATTTAAGTTCAACTGAATGCAGAAATTTTTCAAAACATTTCTGCAGGTGATCATCCAGATTTTGCCTAAAAATCTTCCTGAAAAAGATCTCTTCCTTCACTAGGTAACTGCTTCTTTTGGAAATGAACCACCAGAGATACGGGGGAAATGACCTATTTTCCCCATTGTATATGAATCACACCAAATCTTTAGAAATTGAAAGGACTGGGTATTGAAGTTTGGCATATGTAGTCAGATAAAGAAAAAAAGAATAATCTATTTGGGTCTCTTTGAATCATTTCAAACTTGTCAAAATTGGCAAAAAAGGAAGTGAGCTATAGCCTATGAAAGATTTAGATTTATAATCTGAGAAGACTTTCTCTCCCTTTTCTGTAACCACAGAATAATTATTATAGTTCATGACAAATTGATGCTTTGGAAGAGATTCACTTTTGATTATATTATAGGGTAAATATAGTTCACAGTAGTCTTTTGTGACCCTCTTCCTTCTTTTGTTATCCTGTAATAAATGTCACAGTTTTTTTAAGCACTCCATCCATTATGTTGGATTCTCTCTGGTATTAATAGTTTTCTGAATTAGGGTTGGCTCTGGAAAGTTTCTGTTAGAGTTTCCAAAATGATTTTTGAAGGCATGAAAGGTTACAGACCACCACTCCTCTGAAAATAGTTTTTATTTTCATGAAGTCACTTAGGTTTCTGGAAAATGGAGTCTATTCATATATATTAGAAAAGTTCTTAAATGTTTCTCTGGTTTTCAGATATTTCTTTATACTTTGCTGAATAACTATATTGTTTTCAATAAATAATTGAATTTGCTCTATTTTCTGCTAAGTAAACATTGTTTTATGTAGATTTTTCACAAATATGTCTGTAATGATGTGAGGACACGTGCCTACTCACACAAACACACCCATTCACAGACATTCTGAACTCCCTTGAGGCTTACTCTAAATTGCAAGTCTAATGTTGTCCTCCTAGGGTGCACCCAGGGAGTGCCAAGCTGGACACTTGCCTTAGTTGTAGACTTGATTATAAGGCAGCAGAAAGCACCACACCTTTCGAGTCTAGCTGGCAATTCTCTTACTGGAGAACCAATTACATGAATTGCTTTGGATTGTCCTTGAGAAACTGTAACTTCCATAAATAATTAGTCAGGGGAAAGATTGTTAAAGAGTTTATTTGAAGTCAGGTGTACCAGAGATTTGTTTATACATTTCACAGAGACTTGGATACTCATTTTCTTTAAAAGTAAATGTATTTAATGTAGATCTCATCACAATTTCATATCGGGAAATGCAGGAAATTTTCATCACAATGCCTGGAACTGTTAGGATACTCAGAGGTTGAGATAATTTTGGGATGGCATTGATGATCATGAGTAACCATGCTTGGGTGTACTCAAAGCCCATCAAACTCAGTAACATTGGTGATTCAGACAATATAGATTGCTATGCTTCTAAATTTTAATGGATTTTCTTTAATTTATGCTCTTTGGTGGAGTGTTTGGGGGTGTGTGAGACAAATAGAGATAGATAGTGATAGAGATAGAGAGTTATAGAGAGATAGATAGACATAATAAAGAATCCATCTCTCTCCAAGATAGTTTTATTGACATTAAGCTATTTAATATTTCTCTTTTCAAATAAACTCCTCCTCATCGTTCTTCTTTCACTTTAATTCATTACTTAGCTTTTGCTATTGAGGATTCCTTTTACTTTCAAAACTACCAGTGGTGGAAAGTTGGTAGTCGGAAATTCTTCCTGATGGTCAAATCTTCAGCTTTTAAAATTTCTATTATTTAGTTGTTACAAAGCACTATGTAATTGCAAGTTTCCTGAGAAAGTTATGTATGTGTATTTTCTCAGCTTCTCTATGGAGGATGGAACTTTAGATAAAAGATCTTTTTGGTAGAAGTCAGCATGAGAACAGTGTTTTTTGGTCTCAGTTGAGGAGTGAACTCGTTTAGCTTTGATCTTAAATTTCTGATATTCATCAGTTCCTGCCAGAGCATGTTTGTACAGGATAAAAAAGATTGCTATGGGACCATACCATGCTTTCATATTGTTAATGTTAGAAATCATATTTCCTATAAATTGTTGGATAGCCAGAAATCTTAAATAAATAGAACTTTTTTTTCTCACCTCACACTGTCCTTTTTGAGTCTTGAATATGGTTCACACTTCTTTGGCAATTTTGTACGCTTTATTGACTTGTCAGCTTCCGGGGGCACCTCCTCAGAGGAGACCCCTCAGGCTGCCCCTACTGAATGCCCTCCAGGGGACTGGTTTTCTCACTACTAGCATTAGCACAACTGTAATACAATTTGTAACTCTGTAACTAGTTAAATCTGTTTTCCCTATCAGCAACAGTATTTTGCAACATTCTTATGTTTTTCTTGAGGAAATATAAAATCCAAATAGTAAAGAGAGATTAAATAGTGTTCGTTAAACCACATGTATGTGACAGGATGTGAAAATAGGACACTTCCTGTTTCTTTTTCAGCGGAGAATTAAAGCTTGGGATTTTTTGACAGGCTCAGTTGCGAACCGGCTTTGCAGCAGAGGTGCATTTATCCAGCTAGATCCCGGTTTGTTCTCTAATCCAGTCACGGTAGGCTGTCACTCGTGTGTACACTCCTGGTTTGTCAGGCAGGCCACACTGATAGCCCCAGCTTACAATGCCCACAACGAACCAAAGCCGGCGCGAGTCTTCTTGTACCAGTGGGCCACCAGAGTCACCCTAGGAAAAACAGATGGACTGATTATTCAAGAGCAAAGACAACCTCGAAGCACTGAGTTTACTTCTATGGCAGTAGAAGTCACATCCATCCTGTCAATAATGTCAGCTATTGCCTTTTGAAATGTTATACTGAATCGTGCAAAACTATGGAAATCCTCCATGTGTACAAGTTGCTTCCTTGACAAGTCTGGGAGGAACATGAGAAGCACATGTCCCAAACTTCCCTGAGGTACTGCCATCCACGTCACCTCCTTCAGGGAGCTGTCTCTGACCACCTCTTTTCCTCCTTGCTTTTACCTCCAGTTTTGGGCTCAATTAATTTTTCATTGTGTTCCCACATCCTGTGTCTATCTCTGTCACTGCTTCTTCATTATTTCATGAAAGAATGTTTAGGTGCCTGTTTGAACTTATCCCCACCAGTCAGCTCCTGTCATTGTAGCAGCTGCATGTCTCTGCAACATTCATTGCATTTACAGTCTTGTTCAGTGTTTGTTTTCCCAGCTGTCCTGTAGGGGCCATCAGGGGAGGGAGCACACATGTTCTGGACACTGCTGTAGCTTACACTTCTAGCCCACTGAAGATGCTAAAGAAGTATAATTTTTTTAAAAGATTTAATTAATTTATTTGAAAAGCAGAGTGACACAGACACACACACACACACAGAGAGAGAGAGAGAGAGAGAGAGAGGGAGAGAGAGAAAGGGATCTTCCATTCATTGGTTCATTCTCTGAATGGCAACGACAGTTGAGATGGGCCATGCTAAAGCCAGGAGCCTGAAACTCATCCAAGTCTACCATGTGGGCAGTATTTGTTGAATGAATGAATTTCTAGAAGTCTCACCTATCCTCCTATCCTTTGGACTCTGCATGGTGCCTGATACATGGTGTACCTTTGGAAAGCATTCATTTGGTGAGTGATTGAGAAGAAATTTATACAGCAGTAAGTAAAATATTCCTTGTGAGATAGTTACAAGCCAATCTACAGCCAACAAATGTTTGTGAATATAATCATCTAGTTTGGGAGGCCAAATTACTGTCTTACACACTATACTATGGGTTAAATCTGGGTTCTGGCACTAGATTGCCTGGGTTCAAATCCTCCAGTTACCACGTACATGAACTGCAGTGAGCTATTTAGGAGTTCTCTGTGACTCAATTTCCTCATTAGTAGATAATGTTTTTATGAGTTTAAATGAATTCAATACACAAAACACTTTTGAGTACAGTCAGTACTAATAAAAGTCAGCTATTATTACTAAGTGTGCATCTAGAATAGTTAGCTATTCATTTGACTGCTCTTAGTAGCTAGCTCTTCCACACCTGTGAAATTACCTGTCTAGATGGGGAGAAAAGTCAGTGTGTGAATCACCAACTTGCATGGCGAGTACTGCATGCAACTGATTGACATCTGTCTCCTTTAGATGATGCAGTTCTCAGTATTTCCCCATTGTTGTGTTTCACACCCCCCTTTTCCCATACCAACATTTTTTTTCCTGTATAATCTGTTATCAGGAATGAGCAGGAAAATGTTAAACTAAGAAGACCAGGTGATTTTTCCTGTACCTGGCAGCTTTGCTTTCTGATTGCAGATATTTGAGCATGTGTCCTTTCTTGTAGACCACAGACTTGCTGAGTACAGGAAATGCCTTGTCGTGCTAGTACAGTGTCTAGTGCATTTAAAGTAATTAGCACAATTTATTTGAATGAATAAAAGTGCAGATGAATGTAGGACTGAACAGAAATGAAGAGATTCTTAAAAGCTCTTATGTGTAGTGCTATTTCTTTTTAGACAAACTACACATTATAATGTTTCAACTGAAAACCAATGAGGTATGCAGTAGAATATATTGGGAGGGTTTTGTTATGAGTTATGGTTTGAGCTGGGCTTGATGGAAAAAAATATATGTATATGAAGAAGGTAAGGGTCATTATAAGGGAGTGAATTTCATCCTTTGAAATTTCATGTATGTCCTTAGGTCAGTTCTAATTCATGTTCTCAGTAGATCTGCAATTGTCTGTGTGAAAGTATGTTGCCTATTCAATGGGTGAATTCTCTGGAAAACTATTGTCAAACATGAGAATTTGCTGTTCCTGGGCTAGCAGTAAAAGAGAAGCAGGAAGCAAGCAAGAACTGTTCCTTCTCCCTACAACAGGGACGTCTGCACTTAATGGAACACATGCTTACATGGGTAATTAATGATATTTTGAAAATTGAGAAACAAATCTCCATTTACACACAATTTACAGCTGATCAAAATGTTTAATTTTGGGGAAAGAGCTCATGAATTGAGGTCTGGGCATAAGCCTAAATACTACTTCATAGTCACTTTTCAAAGACTATGAATGCTAAATATGAAGGTCAGTAACATTTGATGGAAAAAATAAATCATATCTTTCTGTCTAAAATTCACTCGGGAAAATGATAGCAGACTGGTTTTTCTTAATTCTAAGATAAAAAATATTTAACTTCTGACACAAAGTAGTTGTTTCTATTACTATATGTGGTTGGATTTCAGACATATGAATAAAATATATTAAAACATATCAATTATGTTCTGATAACATAATTAAAAATCTTAGTATTAAAGTTTTATTATAGTGACATTAAGTGAGAATTTCTTATTTTTGTTTTCTTTTGTATATTTGGTTAAAATTTATATGCTATATGTAAATAGTTATTTATTTTGTTTTCCCCTCCACTTTTGCTATTAAACAATTGTAGGAACTGTTGGAACTCAAATAACAAAATTTTGTATGAATTTTCTACCTTTGGGGTGCTTCAAGTGTTATTTACATCGAAAATTAACTTGTCTATATGACTCTTAGATGAATATTTATTAATTATGTCAATTATAATTTGACACTAATTGTATACTCTTTGGGATAGGAAATGAGGTTCTGATTTAGGAATACAATGTAAAAAAACATGTCCATCATGTCAAATATTTCACATTTTTGGTAATGAAAGCATTTGAAGTTTATTCTCAGCATTTCTGAAATATATAATACTCTATTATTAATTATATTCATGATACTGTGCAATAGTGTTTTATTTAAGCCTTTGTAGATAAATGTCATAAAAATTTTGTCTGTAAAATCTAGGTCATAAATTTTGAGAGAATGAGGATTGTGTGCTGTAACAGAATATGACATAGTGAGTGCTTGTCAATTTCTCAGATGATTGCATTGGTACGATTGTCTTACCTGGCATGCGTCCACTCCTCCTTGAGATAATCCTGCACACACCATTGTAGGCAAGACAGCGCCGTTGTAACTCGCTGGTGCGTTACATACTTCATTACTTATTATTCTGACCCGTCCTTGCTGTAGATAGGTAACCGTGTTGCCTATTTAGCATAAAAGCAGGAAAAAAAAAAACACCTGACATCAGTGTATGTAGGTTAATGACTCCAAGCTGAATTGGAGGAAGAATAAATGTACTGCAAGAGCTATTTTTGTTTGGCAAGGAAGGCTCCTAAAAATATACATAGGTGTTTCTTCCCAGCCAAGCTTCCCATAGGAGAGAAGGTTAACCCCTTTAGACAGAATAGTTTTTCTTATTTCTTTTTTGTAGTAGTTCTGTGATAGAGAATCTCTTAGTCCATTAGAGAAAACAAATATATATATATATATATATATGTATATCTTAAATCAGCTAATAGCATTTAAGTTATCTACTGATTGACTTTAGATTAGGAAAATACATATTGATTAACATTTAATCTCACAGCAAAAGAGATAGCAGTCTGATTTCAAGCCTAAATAACTAGCAGTGCTCAAAATAGCACTGTTATACTTTTCCACAACTATCACAATTTATATCTGTTATATCAAGTTACCTTGTGGCTAAAGAACACAGTGAAACACTTTGTAGGGTAATTAAAGCTTTGCATTATTTCTTGGGGAGACAATTTATAACATGAGTAAAATCCCAGTGAAATTGTGGATGCCATCCTTTCATTCCCTGGCTGATATTCTTATTTTCCCCTTTACTTTCATCTTACCTCTTCTTAATTTCTATTTTATTCCTTAATTAAACAAATATGAGCAATGCTTGTGTACACATGGAGCTTCTTGCCAAGGAAGCAGGATTTATTTTACCCCAGAATACCTTAAAAGGTGGTTAATACTTTTAAGGGCTATTAGAGACCTTAGAGAATATAACATCCAAATTCTTTTTGTTCCCTTTCTTTATGGGGAAGCCATTTACATCCTTTAAAAAACATCCTATTAAAAACTCACATTTTTCATCACCTGCCTTTACATTTCCCCATTACTATGTTTGCAAATTCCCCATACTTAGGATAATGCTTTGTTTCCTGAAGAAACTCAGTGCTAGCCAGGGCTTAGGCTGATAGAATATAGGCTAGGTCTATCTATAGAACTTCTCCAGGTGTTTCCTCAATTTAAAAATTAGAGAATCACACATAACAGGAGAGTTTATTGTTGTTAATTTTTTTTTTTTTTTTTTTTTTTTTTTTTTTTTTTTTTTTTTTACTGAGACACTTACCACCATATTCTAGAGACCCCCATCCTGTTACATAAGCTGAAGAACCAGGTGTAATGTTCTGAGTGGCCTCTGGGAGACACACACTATGGATGTTTCTTGTAAATGTGATAGCTCCTTCAAGTTGCACAGCTGCAATATCATTTTCATGCGTTGCAGATCTATAATTGTTATGGACTAAAATTGTCCTTATTCTCATTCTCTGTCTAGAAACTGCTGTGGAAATACCAAAGGTGGCAGTCCATTGACGAGGATCAGAGTAGCTAAAAAAATATGAAAACATGCTATTTGAAGAGGAAATTTGTGAGCATTTCAAATATTTGGATCTTGTGTTTTCTATCTCCCACCGCTATGTAGGAACTATTTGATCAACATCTCTTTGCTAAATGTCATTACATTATCAGCTATTAAAGGAGTCTAGCTTCTTGTTAGTAGAATCAATAGTAATTCATCTAAAGAAACAGAGAGTTTAGGAAAAAAATCTTGAAGTGATGAATATATTGGTATTTTTCTATGCTAATTTGGATATTCTGGTACTTTGTTGACAGCTAGCATAACATGAATCTTCTCTTTGATTTCTTCCTTTTCTACCTCTCCCATCCGGACAGCTAATAAGTCTAAAATAATGACCATTTTAGCTTTAAATCATTCCTTTCAATCTTGTTTTTTTTTTCCTTTTTTTGTGCCATGAGCCAGAAGTTCCATTTAAATAGTAGTGATGGGATGTCCTTGTATTAATAATGGATGAAAGGTTTTTCTGTTCTAAATGTGATGCCTGTTAAAGTTTTAGTATTTATGAATGTGTGTATGCATATGTATTTATATATGTGTATACACACATATGTATGGAGAGAGTGAAGAGAGAGAGCAGGCACGCAGGAGACAGCATTACCATCAAAACATAGGAAATTAGGCCAGCACCCCGGCTCACTTGGCTAATTCTCCACCTGCAGCACCAGCACCTCGGGTTCTAGTCCTGGTACCCTGGGTTCTAGTCCCGGTTGGGGCGCCGGATTCTTTCCTGGTTGCTCCTCTTCCAGTCCAGCTCTCTGCTGTGGCCCGGGAGTGTAGTGGAGGATGGCTCAGGACCTTGGGCCCTGCACCCGCATGGGAGACCAGGAGGAAGCACCTGGCTCCTGGCTTCGGATCGGCGCAGCACCGGCCACAGCGCGCTGGCCATAGCAGCCATTTGGGGGGTGAACCAACGGAAAAGGAAGACCTTTCTCTCTGTCTCTCTCTCACTGTCTAACTCTGCCTGTCAAAAAAATATAGGAAATTATCTTCGTGATGTAGGGATTGGAATTTTTGGCTAACCTCCCATAACACACACCATAAGGTTAAAAAAGGATGAATTAAATTAAAATTAAGCACACCATAGATTAGGTTACCAGCTGGTTGAGAAACCATGAGAAAATGTTGGCAATGTGTAATATCTATATTTTTCTAGAAAATACACAAAATGTCTATAAACCACCAAAGGGAAGAGAAAATTATTATAAAATAAACAAAGAATGTTAGTAGACAATTTGTAGAAGGGGAATTCCAAACATCTCTGAAATATCTTTGAAGATACCCTGATGGACTAGGAATTGAAAAGGAGAAATTACAACAGTGAGCATCTAATGCATATTTATATGTGTGACAAACATTAAACAGAAGAATAACACAAGTATTGATGAAAAGGGAAATTGGAACTCTAGAATTACTGATGGAGATGTAAACCTCTAGAAAGGATTCTGATACATTTACCAGATGGCATGCACATTTCTGGGTACATATCTCAGAGAAATTCTTGAAAGTTTATAGAAATATGTCTATTTAGATTTCTGTATGTGTATGTGTGTATGAATATGACAACATGTGAGTTCTTCGTAACAGTGTAGCTGGAAGAAGGAAATAAGGTGGGTGCATACTACGGCATTCTATGCAGCAGTGAGCCAAATACAAATTCCCAGGATTGAGTGAAAATAGTAAAAAATGATATGAGACTCATACTCAATGCTACTCTCATAAATAGTATATGCACACAAAAACCAGCACTGTGGGTTTTTAAGGTACATGTATACATATATATTATTTGTTTATTTGTGTTGTGTGAGAGAGAGACAAAGACATACACAGAGAAGGAACGGGAGGTAAGATGGGATGGAGGGAGGGGGACAGAGAAAGAGGGTGAGTAAGCCAGAGAGCTCTGATCTGCAGGTTCACTTCTCAAATGCCTGCAATATTCAGGACAGAGCCAGGCTGAAGCCAGAAGCTGGGAACTCAATCCAGGTTTCCCATGTGGTTGGCTGGAACTCAACTACTTGTGCCATCACTGATGCTTCCCAGGGTCTGTATTTAGCAAGAAACTGGAGTTACAGTCAGTAGCCAGGTATCAAATTTTGGTACTCTGATAATGGGACAAACATTTAACTAGCATCTTAATTGTAAACCAAACACCTGTTCTCAGGCACATGTATATTTAAACACATATTTCAAATTTGAGTATATCGTTAGCATGAGACCTGAAGAAGGCGATAGGAGTGGGATACAGGAACAGCAAGAGAAAAATATAAAATGAGAAACAGACCTCATATAGGCTGATGAAAATAAGACACTATGCTGCTAATACTAACTGATAGAATTAAAAAGGAGAGAATGATCCAACATGGGAAGCAGGATACACAGCAGACTCATAGAATGGCAAGTGTCCTAAACAGCACTCTGGCCTCAGAATCAGACCTTAAGGCATTCAGATCTGGCTGAAGAGCCCATGAGAGTATTCTAGGCATGGAAAGCCAAGACACTGTGGCAAAAAACAAAAAAAACAAAAAACAAAAAAACAAAAAAAACCAAAAACCTAAATGAAAGATCTCTGTGAGTGAGATCCCAGTGGAAAGAACAGGCCATCAAAGAAGGAGGTACCTTTCTCTGAAGAGAGGAGAGAACTTCCACTTTGACTATGACCTTGTCTAAATAAGACGGAGTCGGCAAACTCAAAAGGCTTCCATAGCCTTGGCATCTCATGACAAGAGCCTAGGGTGATTACTGATGCCATAAACAAGAGTGTCAATTTGTTAAGTCAACAACAGGAGTCACTGTGCACTTACTCCTCATGTAGGATCTCTGTCCTTAATGTGTTGTACAATGTGAATTAATGCTATAACTAGTACTCAAACAGTACTTTACACTTTGTGTTTCTGTGTGGGTGCAAACTGTTGAAATTTTTACTTAATATATACTAAACTGATCTTCTGTATATAAAGATAATTGAAAATGAATCTTGATGTGAATGGAATGGGAGAGGGAGTGGGAGAGGGGAGGGTTGCAGGTGGGAAGGAAGTTATGGGGAGGAAAAGCCACTATAATCCATAAGCTGTAATTTGGAAATTTATATTTGTTAAATAAAAGTTAAAAAAAAATAAGACACTGTGAACTGGAGGGCTGATTAACTTAGCATTGCTTGTAAGGTTGAATAAAACAAAATGCAACCAAATAATTTAAGAGTTTCATGGATCTTAGATAGTTAAGTTAGTGTTATATAAAAAATAAAAAATATATGCTTAGGAAATAATTTTATAAGGTATAGGAACTTCTGGAAGTTTGAACTCTAGTTAAAAATTATGAAAAATATTTAAAAAGCAAATGCATGACTTTCACACTCAACTTCTTTTTTTTTTCTGAGTGAATGCATGTTTTTTCCCCCTAGGTGTTTCATTTATTTGTTTTTCTTTCCTTTTTTAAAAAACAATTATAAGAATATGATGATATACCCTTAAAGACATTTTCTCCCTCCCTCTGTCTCATTTTTCCTCTCCTCCCCCTCCCTTTTTTCTTCCTTTCCTTCCTGGTAGCAAATGAGTAAAAGCATGATTATGGAACCAGTTTGATTTACATTTAAATTTTTACCAAGACACATATTAGCAATGTTATTTATGCCCCATTAATTTAACATCTCTGATTCTGGGTTTATTTATGTGTAAAATATGATTGATGGTGTCCTCTCAACTCTACTGTAAATACTAATGAGACAAGTGAAGTATGTCAGGTACAGTGCTTGGCACAAAGCCATCAATAAAGGTAGCTAATACATTCATTAATTATAGTTCAACAAGCCATCACTACATGTCTACTTTGTGTAAGGAACAGTATGAGTCTCTGGAAATAAAAATAAAAATATTTATGGTCTTTATCCTTGAGGAGTTCAGTACACTAGTGGACGAAGCTGATGGAGACAAGAGAACTAACCTAAACCATAAGTAGTACTGTGAAAAACAGATAAGCAAATTTCTGTGGGAACACAAGGGAGAGATAAAAATATCAGGGAAGGCTTCATAGAGGAGGTGACAATTCAATAATTCTTTATATAGGGCAACATCACTTCTGTGGCTCTTAATGTAGGCTGGTAATGCCCTAAACAAATCCTCATTGATGGTTCTCAATGACGGGTAGATCTTGAGTGAGGATGCCAATAAATTGATCACGTAGTCTGTCAGCTCTAATGGCTCAAAAATGGTAATAATTAGAAGGATTTGTGGTGGCAAAATTCAAAGATGTTTCATGGGTTTCTTTTTCTTTCTTTCTTTCTTTTTTTTTAACAGGCAGAGTTAGACAGTGAGAGAGAGAGAGACAGAGAGAAAGGTCTTCCTTTTTCTGTTGGTTCACCCCCTCAAGTGGCCACTATGGCTGGCGTGTTGCAGCCAGCGCGCTGTGCTGATCCGGAGCCAGGAGCCAGGTGCTTTCTCCTGGTCTCCCATGCAGGTGCAGGGCCCAAGGGGACATCCTCCACTGCACTCCTGGGCCACAGCAAAGAGCTGGACTGGAAGAGGAGAAACTGGGACAGAATCCGGCACCCTTGGGTTTCTTTAGTAATTGTTGATGATATTTATAATTTTGGCTTTCATTATATTGTCATCCTTCACTTAGCCTTTGGTGGTTAGGATTAGTGCTTAGAATCCAGTATTATTGATATTGTATTCTTGGTCATCGTAAGGGCCTTCCAAGTCCAAGAATTTGCATTTTTGCTTCCCACACGAAGAGTATGATCAAAATCAATTGGTGCCATCCTTGTACTTAGGTATTTCAGGTGTCAATGAAGGTCAAAATATATTTGTGAATGTTGTTTCTTGTATTATCTATGATACAGCAATAAACTTCTTAGTCTAAATCAGAAAGTGCATAATCCCAACAGTATATTTTATGATAAATTTCAAATTTATTCACTGCCTATAAAATATTGAATTATAAGACAGCCATAAGAAAGACTTAGAATCATTTGGGTTTTCTTAAAACTTTAGTTCAGAAACTGTACACTCATTTTGTTAACCTTTAGTCCCTCTTACTTTAACAAACAGTTTTGTGATAGGCACTGTATTATAAGGTGGTGCCTTCAAACCTGAAAAGCACTTAGAACCTGTGAAGATTTTACAATATTCCAAGAGGAAGAAATGGAGATTTGGAAAGGATATTAATATTTCAGGGGAAGCAGCAGATTGAGCAGGTGAAGAGTGTAGGCAGACTCCAAGGAAAGAGGTAATATTATCCTGGCTAAAGCCAAAATTTTGAAAAATGACTTTGGATTCATTTCACTATGGAAGCTTTCAGTATGTGACAAAGAGGTTGGATTTTGGATGGTGATGGATTATTGAAAGAATCTGAGAAGACAGTGGCTATGGTTGGGGCACACGTGAGTTCAGTATCATCTTTCTGGGTTAACTTCTTGAGTTTAGTACCCAAAAATTGGTGGAGACTAGGATGCTCCAATAATAAGATAGATCAGAAACCAGTAAGGCTTAATCATGCTTACGTCTAAAGTTCTTCTGTTACAAAAAGTATGGCCTTTTCTTTTTACCAGTGGGACTGGTTAATGCAACCTGATCTCCATGGGCAGCTTATCATCCTAGTGTTAGTAATAGTCATTAGTCACGTCCATAAAGAACGCTTGTAAGTTGCCTGAATTCATTTTGTTTATGCTACTTTATATAAATGATCATTGTTTGCTGTGTATTCTGCCTCCAACTTTAGAATGTACATTCCCTGAAAGTAGGCTAGGGTGGCGTTTTATTTATATTAGTAACTTTTGTAATATACAATACTGTGTTCATCATAGCTATTCAACAGCTTTTTGAGCAAATAACAGTGGCAAGTGGGCAGACTCTAGATCAGCCGTCAGCCTATTTAGCAGCTTCCATGATGTCATATACAAATCTTCCACAACAATTCATTTTTGTTCACACTGAACATATATTTACATTAGTGTACTTACTTCTGTCAATAACACCAAGACACATGAGGTTACTTCAAAAGTTCATGGAAAATGGGATTTAATGATAGGTTTATTTCATTGCAAAATATTTGAAATCTGTTGCATACAGGGGTCTTCAAAAATTTCATGGAAGGTGTTCATAATGAAAAATTGCATGGATCTCAAAAACTATTTTTGCCCCAAAATAGAATTATCTTTTACATTCATTTTTTCAAGAAGTTTTTGAAGTTCTTGCTTAGGTAATAACATTGTCCCTAATTTGGAAAAAAATAGGTATATGGAGATTCAGTAAGTTTCCTAAGATTTCATAGACAGGACTTAAAGGAAACATTCTGTCCTATAAATCTTTTTGTCTTGTCATGACATATGCTGTCATCTCAAGGGGTGAAATATAAGAAAATGAGCAAGCTAAAGGAAAGGGTTTTTACACTCTTGAATAAAAAGAAAAGACCCATTTTTTTTGCAATGGGTTTTTTTCTGACCCCATCGAATTATATTCAGTCCTGGGGGTTTTGGGTGGGATCTTTATGCACTTGTCTGTCCTAACCATTCTCAGATGGTAGCAAGCAGTGGCCTCACCTCCGGAAGCAGTGAGCTGCTGTCAGGATCCACGTGTTACTGATCAAAATGCCTCCACAGTGGTGAGCGTTGTTGAGCTGGAGACTGACTTGCCAGGGCCAGTCTCCCTCCTCAGCCTGGGTGCCTCCAATGATTCTCTCTTCAGACAATGTTATTAGGTCTGGACGGGCCCCACATTCTATTGCGATAAAGAGTATTAACAGCTTTAGCATGGAGAGAACATGGAGATTCATTCACATTTGTGAGATTCTGCAATTTCCCCACCACGGATGACTTTTATGTCTCTGATGTACTCTTCTCCAGGGTATGTGAGATTTTCCAAAAGTGTGATCATTATATTTTTAGGTTATACTTATGACTGCTATTGCCTATAGACTGATTTTTAGAGAACATTTCTGAGTTTATTTGGCATGTGGACTTCAAATTTTAAAACAGCTTCAGAGTTTTCTAGAATTTCTCATGAGTCGGGGTTAACATAGGTCAGGGTTGGATGTGCCAGCTTAGGCCACAGACTCCTTGGTCTTCTCCATAGCCTTGGTATTCAGAGGGTGATCTGTGGGCTTGCAGCATGTACACCTGTACACCTCCTGGGAGCTTGTTGGAAATGTTGACTCTCAGTTCCATGCCAGGAAACAAGTCAAGAAGACTCCTTAGTGGTATTGCAGTTCATCATAGAACTGCCAGCCCACCTCCAGAATTGACTCTGTGCGATCAAAAATACCATTGTAATACAGTTGCTCTAAGGCCACAGAATATTCTGGAATGGGACTGAGGGTTTCTGACACCTAAATGAGGTTTATTTAAATGTCGTAAAAAGCCCATGAACACGCCAAAGGCCAGAGCCAGTATGGGCTGGGATGGACCCTTCACCCAACCCTAAATCCTCTCAACACCTGTTTTCATGATGTTTTTCTCTTGTTTAGAAGTTAGAGGTGATCACTGCCAACACTTTCTATTGGGGGTTTGGCTCTCAAGGAGTGCTCTGCTTCAGTAGGGAACCACCTGAAAGCACAAGCACCCAAGGTATTTTTCTCGCCAGTTCTCCAGGTGGAGGGGTGACCCAACTGCTGCTGAAAATATACAGGCAGTAGTGGTTCCTTTGATTCATCCTCCAAACAAATTCATTTAAGCCTGTTTTCATTCAGAATAAGCATGGGTTAAATTTGTAAGAGCACCCATGGGGTAGCATCTTCTTGTAAAATCACTGAAGTATTTGAGGCAGGCCAGCTGTCCAGGTACATTGAACTAATTTCCATCTGCATTTTAGTGGTCACAGAAGTAAACTACTGTATTCCAGGGATTGCGTTGCTGGTAGCCTTGCCTCAGAGTGTGTAGAATGATGACACTGGATAATAGTGATTTTCCCTTCAGATTATAGATCCCAAGCTGACAGGATTTTTTTTTTTTTTTACTATACCTTATGATTAACCTGAAACCACAACTAAGCAAGCCATTCTGGTGGTTAGGAGAAGCCATGTAAGTGGTGTCATCAAACATGGTTTACAAGTCTACAGAAATGCCACCATAGTACCAGGGCAGTAAAAGCTTCTTAAAGCTGTCAGGAAAATTTTCATGAGGCCAATCTTGAGAACAGACTGGGTAGAACTCTGTTGTTACTTCATCCCTTTTTTGGAAAGAGGAAAAACCTTGAGCATCACTCCCTGAACCAGTGGAACCAGCAGAGTCTTGTTTCAATAATCATCACTCAGCATAAAGGCATCAACTTCACAAACACTTCTTGGCAAAAGATGTGAAGGGTAGTACTCAGATGCCTTATATTTTGCCAAACTCTATTTACAAAATCAAATACTTACGTTGGGTGAAGATGGTTTCTGTATCCTGGCCAGTAATCTCTAGAATTTTTAAAACAATGAGAATGAGATCAGTCATATGCTCTGAAAATCATTTCATTTTGATTTCTTAATGAGTAGTATTCAGACAGCCAGAGTCGTGTGGGTTTTCAGATTTCCAGGCTTCTGTTGAAAGCATCTCTGAATCATGGACCATAGAAATCTCTGTGCTTCTCCCAAGTTATTTTTATAAACACTGATTTTTGTGCTCTAATTTCCCACCAGTACCTAAAAGATATCTCGTCTATGGGGCCGGTGCCGTGGCATAGCAGGTAAAGTCGCCTCCTGCAGTGTTGGCATCCCATATGGGCCCTGGTTTGAGTCTTGGCTGCTCTACTTCTGGTCCAGCTCTCTGCGATAGCCTGGGAAAGCAGTAGAGGAGGGCCCAAATCCTTGGGCCCCTGAACCCGTGTGAGAGACCTGGAAGAAGCTCCTGGCTCCCGGCTTTAGATCAGCGCAGCTCCAACCGTTGTGGCCATTTGGGGAGTGAACTAGTGGATGGAAGACTCTCTCTCTCTCATTCTCATTCTCATTCTCATTCTTTCTCTGCCTCTGCCTCTGTAACTCTGCCTTTCAAATAAATAAGTAAATCTTAAAAAAATATATCTCATCTCTCATTCAGTTTTGATGGGAAAACATAAACATGTACATGAGATACAATGTGACGGAGGCTATTATTAGCTATAGATATATACCAGAGTACTTCAAAAAGTTCATGGAAAATGGAATTAAAAGATTAGTTTATTTTGGTATAAAGAAGTTTCAAAATCATATATATGAAGGGTCTTCATTAAGTTTGTGAAAAATATATATGAAAAATCTAAACATGGATTTTAAAAACTGCACCAAAAATAAACTTATCCTTTAACTCCATTTTCTTAAAACGTTTTGAAGTATCCTTGTGTGTATATTACTCTACTGATAATAGTCTCAGTGCTGTAGATTTAACAGAAAAATACAGGAGCACTATCATCACATTATTTACAGACAGAAATCAAGGAATCATTCAAATAAATTTAAGCACAAAGTGAAAGAAGAATGGAGAGAGTAACTAATGCTACTTGAGAGAGATTCACAGAAGTTATCTATCTGGAGGAAATAACATTTTCATTGTGTTTTGAAGACCTAACTGGAAATCTTCAGGCACACAGATGGGGGGAAAGGCATTACAAATGGAAGATGTTGTGAGCTCAAATGCATGGAGGTGTAGTATGTTTGTGGGGCAATAAAGTCAGCAAAGCTATTAAGTGTTCCACCTAGGGAAATGGTGGCAGCTCCTGGAAAGGAAACTTACATCAGTGTGAGGTGGTGAAGGTCTGTTTATCCTGATTGAACGTCTGTGTACAGCATGGTTTTCTCTGCGTGTCCAATACTCATCTCAAACAGTGTGACCAAACCTCCTCCAAAATTTGTTCTTCATTTATATTTCCTCCTTTAGAAAATGACATCACTTCCACTAATAGCATGCAGTCTGAAATTGTTTCAGATTCCTCTGTTCATCATTCCTGCATCTTACTGGTCTCCAGGGTCTGTGTCTTTTCACTACCCTTTTAGTTAGTGCCATCCTCCAAATCTTTTTTGCTGCTACTTTATACTTTCAACCACTGAGATTTGTACCATTATAATACCCTTCCAATAAATAACCTGCAAGTAACCTGCTGCCACTCTGGAGCTTTTTCTATTCATCTATCTTCACTTCATCTGACTTATTTTTTTTTCTGAAAATGTAGATGAATGTTGTATCCTTTCATACCTGAAATTTTTTTTTTATTAAAAATCCGTTTTATTTCCTCTAAGATAAACTTCTCAAAACAGGTTATCATGCTCCCTAAAACTAATTTATACAATGTGATTTCCCATCAGAGATTTCACAGTGTTTATATATTACATTTCCTTTGCAAGCATCAGTGGAACAAATTCATCCTTTTTATGGAGGCAGAAAATTAAAAGAGCTGGCTACTGTTCTTCACTCTTTGAATAAGAGTCTTGAGTTTGAATCCTGACTTCCTCATATGCTGACTGTATGACCCTGGGCAATTATCCAATTTTTCTAAGGGGGAACAATAAAAGTATCAATAGGATATGATAGTTGTAAGGATTAAAATGGAGAGGGAATATGTATATAGGCACTTAGAGTTATGTGTTATAAATATTAAGTGCTCGTTAAATAAATTCATTGATGAGAATGATGAGGATGATGACAATACAAATCATTCCAACAAGACTCTCCCTTTATTGTTCTGCCAAAACATCATATTTACTACATGCCCCTTCTTTTCATGCTCTCGGACTCTGGCAATTCTCTCATCTCAAATATGGACATACTACTCGTTTTTCAAAGTCAGAGTCCATTCTCCTTCATGTAGTTTTGCTGAGTGATACCAAACACTCTGGTCTCCTCCTTCCCTGGATTCTTGCAGTAGTTACTGCTTTTGCTTGATCATATGCTATCTTAAGTCAGGTCTGCCTTCTTGATTGCTATCTTGTGTTGATTCATCTTTTGCTTCAAGTACATTATGAGTTTCTGGGAGATGGGTACCATTCTTATGATAGTGTTCTATCTTCACATTGTCTAGTGCAGTGTTTAACAAATATCAGGCCTTTGGGAAGGATTCCTTAATGTATGGGATCAGAGGTAATTAACTGTTTAACAAACTAGTGCATGAGCATCAGCTAGTCAGACAAGACATGGCCAGGCCATACAGTGGGAACTGTGTCTTGGAGTTCTTTGCTCAGCTAAGCATTAGCTCTTTAGTTGCAGGTGGAGGAGCTGGGAGTCCAGGACGGAGGATGGGAGTATGTGGAGGATATGAGGGCTAACTCTGTAGGCCTAATACAGTGATTACCAACGAATGGGAAAACATTTGAATATTTTGAAAACCAATATAACCTTGACAGGTACATGCCAGTTCACTGTAAGAACAACCAAAATCACAGTTTATTACGCCAGTAGCACATGACAAAGTTGGAGGAGTGTTCTTTCCTGAGAAATTTCTTTCAGTTACATAACAATTATTTATTGACTATCAATTGTTTGATAGACATTGAGTGGTAGGACAGAAGAATGAACAAGTCATACCATTTCTCACTTTTTGGAATCTTACAAAGTAGTATGAAGCCAAACAATACAAAAATTACACAAATATTTCCAAATTTTCTATCGGAATAAATGTTAAAAAGGAAAATTAAGAAGTCTGTGAAGTGAGTCATTAATTAAATTGTTCTGTGACCACAAGCATCTACTTACCAATTCAATAGCATATCCAAAAATCAAGTCTCTTACAACAATATCTCTCATGAGGAGTGGTGGAAGGATAACTAATCATGATTTTTTTAGTAGATTTAATTTATTATGCAAATACTAAATTATTATTCAAATCTTAGAATGTTTATATTAGATAGCTACGTATTCTATTTAATTTTTAATGCATTTTCATAAAATTTATTTCCAAAGAAGGACAAGTCAGTCTCTCATTTAACTAACATGTGAATTTTAATTAGTAAGTTTGAAGGATATACTAAAATAAAGTGGTATAAAGGATACTTGCCTGTTACCGTAGTTGAAGGGTTTATTTCCAAGCTTCCAGAGTTATTCAGCATTTGCTGTAAAACATCCTGAACCCTTCTTTTCATTGCATCACCATTGTTGTTTCTACTGACTCGGAATTTCATTACAACATCTGCTATCACACCATTACTATCCTGCCTGTAAATCAAAAGGACATTTTACAAAATAGATAATTATAATACCTTTTATAATACCTATTTATATCCCTGATGAAGCATTTTTGAAAAATTCACCTGAAGAATTTAACTTTACAACAGAATCACATACTAATGTGTGTGTATGTAATATGATATCACAAATTTCATTTTAATGCACAGTATATACTATACCTGCCATATAGTACAGCTGCCTCTGAAGTCAGAATGCCTTAGGGTTTTACTGTGTGACTTTGGGTACTTTATTTTTTTTATTTGACAGTTACAGTTATAGACAGAGAGAAAAGTCTTCCTTCTGTTGGTTCACTCCTCAAATGGCTGCCACGGCCGGCGCTGTGCTGATCTGAAGCCAGGAGCCAGGTGCTTCTTCCTGGTCTCCCATGCAGGTGCAGGGGCCCAAGCACTTGGGCCATCCTCCACTGTCCTCTCGGGCTATAGCAGAGAGCTGGACTGGAAGAGGAGCAACCAGGACTAGAACCTGGAGCCCATATGGGATGCCGGCGCCGCAGGCAGAGGATTAACCAAGTGAGCCACGGCACTGGCCCCAAGGGTACTTTAACATTTTTTTTTTGTGCACTTCAGAATTTCTTTTTTTTTTTTTTAACTTTTATTTAATGAATATAAATTTCCAAAGTACAGAATATGGATTACAATGGCTTCCCCCCCATAACGTCCCTCCCACACGCAACCCTTCCCTTTCCCACTCCCTCTCCCCTTCCATTCACATCAAGATTCATTTTCGATTCTCTTTATATACAGAAGATCAGTTTAGCATACATTAAGTAAAGATTTCAACAGTTTGCTCCCACACAGAAACATAAAGTGAAAAATACTGTTTGAGTACTAGTTATAGCATTAGATCTCAATGTACAGCACACTAAGGACAGAAATCCTACATGAGGAGTAAGTGCACAGTGACTCCTGTTGTTGACTTTACAAATTGACACTCTTGTTTATGGCATCAGTAATCACCCTAGGCTCTTGTCATGAGCTGCCAAGGCTATGAAAGCCCCCTGAGTTCACCGACTCTGATCATATTTAGACAAGGCCATGGTCAAAGTGGAAGTTCTCTCCTCCCTTCAGAGAAAGGTACCTCCTTCTTTGATGACCCATTCTTTCCACTGGGATCTCACTCACAGAGATATTTCATTTAGGTTTTTTTTTTTTTTTTTCCCAGAGTGTCTTGGCTTTCCATGCCTGAAATACTCTCATGGGCATTTCAGCCAGATCTGCATGCCTTAAGGGCTGATTATGAGGCCAGAGTGCTGTTAGGACATTTGCCATTCTATGGGTCTGCTGTGTATCTCACTTCCCATGTTGGATCATTCGCTCCCTTTTTGATTCTAACAGCTAGTATTTGCAGACACTATTCTTGTTTCTGTGATCCCTTTGGTTCTTAGTCCTATCATTACGATCAGTTGTGAACAGAAATTGATCACTGGGACTAGTGAGATGGCATTGGTACATGCCACCTTGATGGGATTGAATTGGAATCCCCTGGTATGTTTCTAACTCTACTGTTTGAGGTAAGTCAGCTTGAGCATGTCCCGAATTGCACATCTCTTCCCTCTCTTATTCCCACGCTTATATTTAACAGTGATCACTTTTCAGTTAAGTTTCAGCACTTAAGAAGAATTGTGTATTGATTACAGTATTCAACCACAAGTATTAAGTAGAACAAACAAACAAAAAAATACTAAGAGGGATAACATATTAAGCTGCTCATCAACAGTCAGGGTGAGGGCTGATCAAGTCACTGTTTCTCATAGTGTTCCTTTCACTTTAACAGGTTTCCCTTTTGGTGCTCAGTTAGTTGTCACCTATCAAGGAGAACAAGTGGTATTTTTCCCTTTGGGATTGGCTTATTTCACTCAACATAATGTTTTCCAAATTCCTAACAGGGATCACTTTTTAACATTTTTTTTAAAAAGATTTATTTTTCTGAAAGGCAGAATGACAGAGGGGATGAGAGAGAGAGGGGGGAGAGATCTTCCATTCTCTGGTTTACTTTCCAGATGGCTTCAATGGCCAAGGCTGATCCAGGCTAAAGCCAGGAGCCAAGAACTCCTTTTGGTCTTCCACATGGGTAGCAGGGGCCCAAGCACCTTCTACTGCTTTTCTAGGCACATTAACAAGAAGCTGGATCAGAAGGAGAGCAACCAGGACTTGAATTGGCACTCCAATATGGGATACCATATTGCAAGGTTTAGCTTAACCCACTGTGCCATGACAATGGACCCGTTTTTTAATTTCCCTGTATCTAAGTCTCCTCATATGTAAAATGGGTTAGAATGAAGATTATATGAATTAATATGCACAAAATTTTGAGAAAAGTGAATAGCATACAATGAATGCTTTATAAGGTATTAGCTATTATTAGACTTGCTATCTAAAAATAATCTCTTTAAATAAAATTATTAAATGACAAAGTTTCAAATTTATGTGATTCATGTTGTTTTTCTGGTATCTAGATCCATTCATCTGGATAAAACAGCTATTTTGATTTTTGTAGTCCTACCTTAAGAGTTTATCTCCCATTTCAATTAACCACAGAAACTGCATTCCTCACAATGAATTTTGCTAGCTTCACTAAAGATTTTATTTATATAAAATCCACTTAAATTCCACTTTCTCCCATGTAGTTTAGCACCTACCCCACTTCCTCCATCACACATTGTTGGTCCTCTTTTCTGAAAAAGCACATTGGCCCTTTTGGCCCCTTACTTTCATCTCAATGGTCAGTTCTGACTTAATTTATTGCAGATAATAATGTAATATTTATTTAACATATTAAATGAACACCTTTTTGTCCTGATATTCTAAGTTTTGGTAGTTAGCTGTGATCAAGTTTCATAGTTGCTGTTCTTATAGGTAGTTCAGTTGGAAAAACAGACACTGAGAAAATAATTACAACTTCCATCTGTAGCAACAGGGAAGCCTAAATAATTAAAAATTAAAAAAAACTTTTTCATGAGACAACCAGAAATGGTAGATAAAATATAGATTCCGTTTCAAATGTAAAGCTGAATTCACATTGAAAGTAAGGAAAATTTCTGGAGGCCAAAAATTAAGAATGTTAATGTTATATGATAAAGACTAGAATATTTAGCAGGTTTCCATTTGTTATTTGCATGAAATTGGAGATGGGCCCTAGGCTAGTGCAAAATAGGGAGTTTGACTTGTGGTTTTGACTTAAAAACAGGAATCTGAAAACACTAAATTCCCAGTGAAAGTATGAGTTAGGAAAAAAAAAAACTCACCATCTTATAAAAGAAAAAGAAGCTTATGATAAAAAAAGAATTCTCTTCTGATAATTCCTAATCAGCTTTTGCTATATGATTGAATTTACATTAAAACTTGCATATTCCCAAGAACTTTAAGCTAGGAAATTAATTAAAGAAATAATTTGTCCTTGTACTGCTGATTCCTGAAGAGGAGGAAGCAAATGTTCTGAAGAATGTATGCTGAATCCAGGCTGCAGAGGATCCTACTTGGAGAGTGGGATTAAAGGTGGGTGTACAATTCCAGTGGGAAAAGATCTATTATGAGCTATAGACAAAAGATCAAGAAGAGTATTTGCAACAAGTTCACATAACAGAATTCACGGGTAAATAAGTATATGTGAAATGGCTAATGATATAAATGAAGAAATCATATATATGATAATAGCATAAAATATTATCAAAAGAGACCAAGCAAGTTCTCAAAAGAAATAAATGGGATTTACTGGCAGGAAAAACTCTTTGAAATTGAAAACTCAATAAATGGGTTACACAGAATGTTAGTCAAAGCTGAAGGGAAATTAGTTAACTGAAAGGTTAAGATGAAGAAATTACACAGGCTTTAATGTGGAGTAAAAAGATGAAAAAGGATCAAATACAGGTTAAGAGACACAAGAAAACTCAATGCATAAAAAGCAATGCTAAAGAAAAGCACACACACAAAAACACAGTGATATTAAAGAGAAAATGAAAATTATTAACAATTGTTGAAGATGTGAAACTTCATGTCACAATGAATCTGAAACACATCAAAAATGGATAAATTAAAAGAAAATTCACCTATAAATGCATAAAAATTAAACTGAACTTCAAAGAGAAAGAGAAAAATTTTCAAACAATAAAAGCCAGCTACCGAAGAACATGTTGACTGACAAGAGATTTCTCAATAGCAGCAATGGAAGATCATATATAATTACATCTTCAAAATGCTGAGAGAAGACAGTTGTTAACTTAAGATTTTTATATCCATTAAACTTTTTTTGAGAATAAAAAAAGGACATTTTTCAGACCAAAACCAAACAAGAAGAGAAATTATTACTCATGCACTCTTAACAAAAAATTATTAAGTAAGTGCTTTAGTATGAAGGAAATTGAACTCAGAAGGACAGTGTGAAGTGTAAGAAGAAAGAGGAAACAAAGAAAATGACAAGCTATGGCTGTAATTATTACCTACACTATTATATTCGCTAGTGTGGGTAGTAATTATAATGACTAACCTGAAGACATTAGAAACAAGGTGGAACTAAAACGTCATGAGTAATGACATGAACAAAAGTTCCATGTTTCCTGTATTATTTGGAAGGAGGGTAACGGTTTAAGCCAACTCTTGTTTACATTTTAAGGGCAATAACTGAAGTAATAGAAATAGAATGTACCACTTTTGAATTAGTGAAAGAAAATGAAAAAAAAAAGCCATCCAGAAGAAAGCAAGACAGAAAAAAAAGGAAGCATAGAAAAAGTAGGAGAAAGCAAAAGAATATGAAAGGAGCAACTCCGAAGCTATGTCATAAAGTAATATGTCAATAAAGTTGTCAGTTAAAGGCAAATATGGTCAGAATGTAATAAAAATTAAATCTAGCTATTTGCTTGTTGAAGAAGAAATATCTAACCTGTAAGCACACATACATTTTGAAAAAAAAAGTGGATAAAAATATAGTAAGCAAATAACTTCAAGAAAGCCAATGCAGCAATATTAATGCCA